TTTAAGTGATACCACTTGGTGTATGTATGTTTCTCTGTCTGGCTTATTTCTCTCAGCACAAGGCCCTCCAGGTTCACGCATGATCTGTGTTGTCACAGATGGAGGGATTTCCCCCTTTTTATGGCTGAATAATATTCCACCGTGTGTGTGTGACATCTTCTCTACCCGTCATCCATTGTCGAGCACTCAGGTTGCTTCCCTGTCTGGCCTCCCACGAATGATGCCGCAGTGAACATCAGAGTGCATGTCTCTCCCCAGGGCTGTGATCTGGCTTCCTGTTTCCCACAGTGGCTGTGACAGTTTATATCCCCACCAGCAGTGCACAAGTGTAGCCTTTCCTCCACGTGCTTGCCAGCATTTATCATCTCCTGCTTTTCTTTTTTACCAAACACCTTAACAGGTGCAAGGCGGTACCTCATGGTGGTTTGGACGTGCCCTTCCCGGTGAGCAGTGATGCTGTGTGCTTTAGGTGCCCGTTGGCCATTGGGGTGTCTTATGTGGAAAATTGTTCAGGACCTTTGCCCAGTTTTAATTGGGCTGTTTGGTTTTTCACTATTGCGTTGTGTGTGTTCCTTGTGTAATTTGGCCATTAACCCGTCATCGTGTCTCGGGTGCGAGAGGTGTCCCCAGCTCTTTGGAGTTGGGTGGAGACCTTGAATCGCCCCTGGATCACTTTCGATTACACCGCTGACCTCTTTATTGATTCACTGGCGTGTGAGTCGAACTGAAACCAGACGACACATCAAGTATGTTGTGTGTGACGTGATGCAGCTTAAGTCAGTGTCTGTATAGACTTGATGCAGATGGAAGGTGAGTAATACCTTGAGATCCATGGACAGACCTGCCCGTCAGCCATCAGGGGGTGTGTGTGTCTGTCTGTCTGCAGCCTGCCGGGCACTGCACAAGCCGTGGGAGTTGATACCAAGAAGCACAACACATGGTCGTTGCCCTCGAGGACCTTGTAGGCTAATTGAAAAATAATGAATGTGAGTGGTGCGTGCCACAACCGGCAGGCCAGTGTCGAGAGAAGAGAAATCAGCCAGGAAGCAAGCCTGCAGACAAGAAACCCAGTGTCCCCCTTGAGCAGCCCTTCCGCTCCTCCTGGGGGACCAGCAGCAGACGTGGGGAGAGTTATTTCAGGGCGTCCAGACCTGCGTGTTCATAAATGTGAGCGCGTACATGATGGAGACAGCTTTTTCTTCCTCTCTCTCCTTCCCTCATCACTGAAGCTTCCCTGCCCTTGTCTGTATCCGTGCAACGCTGATTAAATACGGAAGGGAAATCATGTAAAACGGCCACGAGCGGGCCGCGGGCGCACCTGCCCCTGCCGTGCCTCAGGCCGCATCCCCTCTGCCTCCTGTGAGCGGGAGTGGCGCGCGGAAGGCACCCGAGAGCCCCTGGTAGGTGGGCCGCCCCGTCTCGTCTCCTGCTCAGACCTTCCTTGTCTTCATTGCGGAAGAAGTCTCCAGTCAGTGTCCCCTGCTTGTTCTGCGTGTTAGCACGTTGTCCTCCTAAGCGGCGCCTTCTCAGAAGATCTTAACATCACTTATTTCTTGTAAAGGTAATAGCGGTGAATTCTGTGGCTTGGAGTTGAAAGCTCTCTACTCCATGACCTGTTCCTTCAGGCTCTGTGACTTCAGCCCAAGTGCAATGTTTTTAAGACAATTTTTGAGAGCAGTTGAAGTTCACACTAAAATTGAGAGGAAGATGTAGAGATGTCCCCGTGTCTCCCCGACCCCGTGAGTGCAGCCCCCACCCCGTTATCAGCACCCCTCATCATAGGGGCACGTTTGTTACAATCAGTGGGCCCGTGTTGACACATCATCGTCACTAGGGGTTCAGTTTACATGAGGGTTCGCTCTGGGTGCCGTGCGTCCTGGGGTCTGGACAAGTGTGTAATGTGTGTACCTGCCACCGCGGCGTCGCCCAAGAGTGGTTTCCCTGCCCTTAAAAGCCTCGTGCCCCTTCTGTTCATTCATCCCTCCCCCACAGCCCCTGGCAGCCGCTCGTCTCTGTACTGTCTCCAAAGTTTTGCCTTTTCCAGAATGCCATGTAGTTGGAATCATACAGCACAGAAGTAGAAATCAGCATCTCAGTTTTATAAACGAGAAAAGCAGTGGCTTAGAGCCTCTGCCGGGACCACACGTGAGTTACGTGTTGAGGACCAACGAAGTGAAGAGGTGTACACGTGAAGGACGGTTTTACTGAGCTGATTAACAGCGTGGATGATACACAATCACACTTGATTTTGAAAGTGGAAATCCTACTAGTGAGGAACCGAGCAGGACTCAGTTTGCGACCTTAATGGAGTCTCAACAAGCAAATACTGAGGGCGTTAGTGTTTGTGAGAGACCCCGGATACTTTGCAAGTGCGCTGGAACGGATTTCTAAAAATGTCTCGTCTTTAAAACTACGGCCAGTTTTAAGGTGAAAATACAGGGAGCTCTTAAATATAATGGATAAATGTAAATAGTATTTTTCTTGCAACTAAGTGGAGAATTCCATCTGGGGTCTGCCTGGATAAGGGAGTAGATCCGGAGGCCCTCGGCGCACGTGCCCTGTTTCTTTCTTTCCCAGCTGGAGCCCCTCCTTCCACTGCCTAACAAGGCCCGAGTCAGAACAGAGGGCCTGCCCTAGATACTATATTGAAATCACAGCAAATGCATGTGAACGAACTTGTTCGAATGGTCACGTAAGTCACGGGAGGACCCACTGTGCAGCGACGATGGGGTTTTTCCTAAGGTCACCAGTTTGCTTGAGGAACTGTTGGTGTGTGAGCTCAGAATCGCGAAGGGAACATTAGCAAGAAGTTTAATTTAGGAAATTACCCTGATTTACATGGTCTTTAAGAAAACGACTTTAATGTGTATTTGTTAAGATGAAAATTAGTTGTCACCCTCTTAGGCGAATTTTATGCACAACTTCTTCCTGAAAGCTGGTTCTTTTTTTACTGTCGACAAAAAGTTATTCAGGCAAGCACCTCATGCTGTACCATTAATGACAATAATTTATACAAAGCATGGGGGTTCTTTGTGTATTCCGGCAACGCTCAAGTCATTCTGTTTGACTAAATACTTCTGAAATTCAACACACTTCTTTTCTAAGAGGGAGAAAATGAAGGTGGAGTGAGTTAGAAATTCTTCCAGGAATAAATTATCACATAGACCTTCATTTCTTAAACCAAAATTTTAATGTTCTATTTAATTTTGTTTAAAAACAGCAGTTTTACGCAGCACTGACTTCAAAACACTGCCTTTTAGTCTGACGTAGTTGCTGTATATACAATACACTGTTGTTAAATGCATGTAACTTTTGTTTTGCCATCAAAATTATAGATAGAAAGAAATGTCTATGTTAAGCCACACACATATAGCTTCAATATTTCAAAATAACACCATTCACCATGTTTTGTTAAATGTAAACCTCATTTTTGTAGCATATCTTAATGTATTTAAATTAAACTATTGTGGATTTTATATTTCAAAGTAAAGAGCATCCTACATTTTAAAATCTAAACCCCAGATATTTCCAGTGCACAATTTTAAAATCAAGAGACATTCAACTTAAATTGGGCGATGAGACTTGTGAGATACTTTGAAGCTAACTGAGGACCCGGGGGTGCAGGGCGTCAGGAGAGTGCGGAACAGATCACTGAGGAAACACCCCGGATTCCCCAAACACAGCTGATCGGCGGAGCCGGACGGAAGGCCCTGGCCCGGCCCCTCTGCCACTCTCTCATCTGTTCATCCTTCCCTTCATGACCTGATGATTCAAACTGCAGTGTTGAAAATACCGAGCAAAATATTTAGGGAAAAAATAAATAAAAGCAGATGCTGACTTCAGAGACTGTGTAGCCTAACGCACACGAAGGAAGGGAAACTGTTTCCGTTTCACTGCAGCCCGTGACACGTCAAAGGACACTGACTGTCCTCCTAGTTCGTCACGGGTCGCTGTAGCGCAGACGTCGGCCACAGGGGGGCGCCCAAGGCCTGCAGGAGAGACTGTGTGTGACCCCCCGCCCCACCCGCACCCGACCCGCACTGCTGTCCACACCACCCACTCCGATTCCCCACCTGCCACCGCAGTCACAGTGGCCAATCCCTTCCCTTTTGCATTAACTTCCTTCCATGCTCACTTGCATGAGGACCTTAACTCTAAACACACTCTCCTGAATCTCCGTGTCATGGATTTGTTTTGCCCTCCACGATGTGAAATCCTGACCATACACATCTCTCTGTGCAGTTAAGCTCTTAGTATCGATGTTGGTGCAGTTAGGACCCTTGATATTCCGAGAGGAAGCTGACACGAGGGATGTGGACATTCTCACCCCGTGTGACACAGCAAAGAGGGGATGAGGCTACACCTTGAACCCATGCCTGTCGAAGG